GGGCCCTGGAGCATGGAATGAGCTTGGCAGGCCTCAGCCCAGCTCTCCAGCACAACAGCCATCTCGGCTCCCTCAGAGAGGCCAGCGGCATGTTTGCATGGGCCTGTGGCAGCGGGCAGGGGGCAGCAGGAGCAGGCGAGCGAGATGGTGCAGCAGTAGGCTCGGGCGCCCAGCTGGCCAGTTTGCAGTTTGCCCTCATTCACTGACTTTGCTGTCTTCCTGTGAGTGCCAGGCTCTCCCACCCGCGGCTGCTTTCTACTGAGTCACCCCTGGGGCTGGGTTTGTTTTTCTGAGTCACCCCGCATGTGCCAGAGGCCCTTGTGCTTGGCTCTGCCAGCCCGGGGCAAGTGGGCAGGAGCTTGGCTGCCGGTTGGGGGTGGACATCTCCAGCCCTGCTGAGCCATCAGTTATTCCGGAGAAGTAGCACCCTGCATGCCCGCACTGGATCACCATGCCAGGTGCTGCCCGCCCCTGCCCAGAGAGCCCACAGTCTAGACAGACAAAAGAAGCAGTTTCAGTCTCCATTGCAGGTTGCTGAGACCTGGAGAGCTGAAGGACTTGCCCCCCGGTCACGCAGGGTCTCTGGTGGGGCTGGGGTGAGACCACTGAGTCCTGTGCTCTTCTGAGACCCTGGCCCAGCCTGGCCACAGGAGCGCATGCTGGTTAGCTGCTAAGCCGAGTGATTGGTTGCTGCTCTGGTGCGGCCACGTGCACCATTCCTGTCCTCAGAGCTGCATGCGTCGGCCTTCACACGCACACGCAGGCCAGCCACAGTCCCACGCCACGGCAGAGAGGGGAAACGGGTGCAAATCTGGTCACCCTCGCTTGATCGCTTTCTTTCAAGAGACCTCAGCTCCAGCTGGCAACGGTTCCGGTGCTGATGCAAGGCATTTGGGCTTGGTACTGCAGGATATTTTGATTACGAAACCAGAACAATACAAGATCAGCGCGGCACACGACATGCATTGTCAACGGTCTCTGCGCGGGGACTCACTGATGTGCTTTGTGCAGGACCCTGCAGGGGTCCGGTCCTGGCCCCTCGGGATGTCACATTTTTACCAACACCCTTGAACACAGCACTAGGCCGTCGCTGGTAAGTTTGCAGATGACACAAAGATTGGCGAATAACGAAGCTGACAAGTCACCGAGAAGGAGCCGGCGTGTTTGCTGGGGAGCTGGGCCCAGCCCGCAACCTGCAAACTCACGTGTCTAGGGACGCAGCACCCAGCCCTCTGTTCCAGGAGGCCAAGAAGAAGACGGAGAAAAGTTGTTCTCTTGCCATCAGGGCAGGACAAGAGTCCGGGGGTTCGAATGACGCCAGAGCAGCGTTAGAGTAAATTTCAGCAAAGCCAGGACGATGGATCTGACAGTGACAGAGGCATGGAAGCTGCAACCTGGAGGTTCTTTTACCTCTGGTTTTGGCCCGACATGGCTGGGATCCTGCGTTGCAGGGCCCACAAGTCACGAAGATGTTGATAATGAGGGCGGGGGGGTTAAAGAAGAGTCTTGAGAATGACTAAAGAGCAGGCAAGCCTGCCTTGTAGCGCTAGGCCAGGGCTGGGCAAGATGCGGCCCAGGGGCCGGATCCGGCCCGCCTGACACTTTGATCTGGCCTGCAGGCTGCACCTGGTTGCTTTCTAGTTATATCCTGCTGCCGGTGCCACCGATTTTCCAGGAGGTGGCTCAGGATCCTATTTAAATGCCTCGTGGCTCGTGGTTGTAGCGCTAGCCCAGCAGGGGCTGGAGCTGTGAGCCTTTTGAATAGCCACAGCAACCCCAGGCGGCTGCCAGGCTAGGAGGTAGCGGCAGGGCCGGGCGCCACGAGCCTGGTTGCTTTCTAGTTATATCCTGCTGCCGGTGCCACCGATTTTCCAGGAGGTGGCTCAGGATCCTATTTAAATGCCTCGTGGCTCGTGGTTGTAGCGCTAGCCCAGCAGGGGCTGGAGCTGTGAGCCTTTTGAATAGCCACAGCAACCCCAGGCGGCTGCCAGGCTAGGAGGTAGCGGCAGGGCCGGGCGCCACGAGCCCTTTGCTGTTTCTACTTCAAAGCCTCCAGCCCCAACCAACTCTGGGGGAGGCTTGTCCCCAGCCCCGCCCCTTCTGCCCCAGGCCC